TAATGCTATCCCTTCCCTAACACCCCGCCTCCTGACAGGCCCCGATGTGTGATGTTCCCCTCCCTGTTTCCATGTATTCTCATTGTTCAACTCCCACTTATGAGTGAGAACATGTGGTGTTTGGTTTTCTGTTCCTGTGTTAGTTTGCTGAGAATGATTGTTTCTAGCTTCATCCATGTCCCAGCAAAGGCCATGAACTCCCTTTTTTATGGTTACATAGTATTCCATGGTGTATATGTGCCACATTTTCTTTATCCAGTCTGTCATCGATGAGCATTTGGGTTGGTTCCAAGTCTTGGCTATTGTGAATAGTGCTGCAGTAAACATAAGTGTGCTTGTGTCTTTATAGTAGAATGATTTATAATCCTTTGGGTACATATCCAGTAATGGGTTTGCTGGGTCAAATGGTATTTCTGGTTCTAGATCCTTGAGGAATCGCCACACTGTCTTCCACAATGGTTGAACTAACTTATACTCCCACAACAGTGTAAAAGCATTTCTAAGCCGGGTGTGGTGGCTCAGGCCTGTAATCCCAGCACTTTAGGAGGTCGAGGTGGGTGGATCACAAGGTCAGGAGATCAAGACCATCCTGGCTAAGACGGTGAAACCCTGTCTCTACTAAAAATACAAAAAATTAGCTGGGCTTGGTGGCGTGCACCTGTAGTCCCAGCTACTCGGGAGGCTGAGGCAGGAGAATGGCGTGAACCTGGGAGGCAGAGCTTACAGTGAGCTGACACTCCAGCCTGGGTGACAGAGACTGTGTCTCAAAAAAAAAAAAAAAAAAAAATTTCTATTTCTCCACATCCTCTCCAGCATCTATTGTTTCCTGATTTTTTAATGATCACCATTCTAACTGGCATTAGATAGTATCTCATTGTGGTTTTGATTTGCATTTCTCTAATGACCAGTAATGATGAGCTTTTTTTTGTATGTTTCTTAGCCGCATAAATGTCTTCTTTTGAGAAGTGTCAATTCATATCTTTTGATGGGGTTGTTTTTTTTTTTTTTTTTTTCCTTGTAAATTTGTTTAAGTTCTTTGTAGATTCTGGATATTACCCTTTGTCAGTTGGATAGATGGCAGAACTTTTCTCCCATTCTGCAAGTTGCCTATTCACTCTGATGATAGTTTATTTTGCTGTGCAGAAGCTCTTTAGTTTAATTAGATCCCATTTGCGAATTTTGGCTTTTGTTGCCATTGCTTTTGGTGTTTTAATCATGAAGTCTTTGCCCGTGCCTATGTCCTGAATGGTATTCTCTAGGTTTTCTTCTAGGGTTTTTATGGTCTTAGGTCTTATGCTTAAATCTTTAATCCATCCTGAGTTAATTTTGGTGTAAGGTGTAAGGAAGGGGTCCAGTTTCAGTTTTCTGCATATGGCTAGCCAGTTTTCCCAACACCATTTATTAAATAGGGAATCCTTTCCCCATTGCTTGTTTTTCTCAGGTTTGTCAAAGATCAGATGGTTGTAGATGTGTGGCATTATATCTGAGCCCTCTGTTTTGTTCCATTGGTCTATATATCTGTTTTGGTACCAGTACCATGCTGTTTTGGTTACTGTAGCCTTGTAGTATAGTTTGAAGTCAGGTATTGTGATGCCTCCAGCTTTGTTCTTTTTGCTTAGGATTGTCTTGGCTATATAGGCTATTTTTTGGTTCCATATGAGATTTAAAGTAGTTTTTTCTAATTCTGTGAAGAAAGTCATTGGCAGCTTGATGGGGGGATAACATTGAATCTGTAAATTACTTTGTGCATTATGGCCATTTTCATGATATTCATTCTTCCTATCCATGAGCATGGTATGTTCTTCCATTTGTTTGTGTCCTCTTTTATTTCACTGAGCAGTGGTTTGTAGTTCTCCTTGAAGAGGTCCTTCACATCCCTTGTAAGTTGTATTCCTATGTATTTTATTCTCTTTGTAACAATTGTAATGGGAGTTCACTCATGATTTGGCTGTCTGTATTACTGGTGTGTAGGAATGCATATGATTTCTGCACAGTGATTCAAGCAGACTTAATAGATACCTACAGAACTCTCCACCCCGAATCAACAGAATATACATTCTTCTCAGCACCACATCACACTTACTCTAAAATTGACCACATAATTGTAAGTAAAACACTCCTCACCAAATGCAAAAGAACGGAAATTATAGCAGTGTCTTGAGACCACAGTGCAGTCAAATTAGAACTCAGGATTAAGAAACTCACTCAAAACCGCACAACTGCATGGAAACTGAACAACCTGCTCCTGAATGATTACTGGGTAAATAATGAGATGAAAGCAGAAATAAGTTCTTTAAAACCAATGAGAACAAAGGTACTTGTACCAGAATCTCTGGGACAGAGCTAAAGCAGTGTGTAGAGGGAAATCTATAGCACTAAATGCCCACAGGAGAAAGCAGAAAAGATCTAAAATCAACACTCTAACATCCCAATTTAAAGAACTAGAGAAGCAAGAGCAAAGAAATTCAAAAGCTAGCAGAAGACAAGAAATAACTAAGATCAGAGCAGAACTGAAGGAGATAGAGACATGAAAAACCCTTCAAAAAAATCAATGATTCCAGGAGCTGTTTTTTTGAAAAGATTAACAAAATAGGCTGCTAGCCAGACTAATAAGAGAGAAGAATCAAACAGATACAATTTAAAAAATGATAAAGGGGAGATCACCACTGATCCCACAGAAATACAAACTATCATCAGAGAATACTATAAACATCTCTACACAAATAAAATAGAAAATCTAGAAGAAATGGATAAATTCCTGGACACATACACCCTCCCAATACTAAACCAGGAAGAAGTCGAATCCCTGAATAGACCAATAACAGGCTCTGAAATTGAGGCAGTAATTAATAGCCTACCTGCCAAAAAAAAAAGCCCAGGACCAGGCAGATTCACAGCCGAATTCTACAAGAGGTACAAAGAGGGGCTGGTACCATTCCTTCTGAAACTATTCCAAACAATAGAAAAAGAGGGAATCCTCCCTAACTCATTTTATGAGGCTAGCATCATCCTGATACCAAAACCTGGCAGAGACACAACAAAAAAAGAACATTTCAGGCCAATATCCCTGATGAACATTGATGCGAAGATCCTCAATAAAATACTAGCAAACTGAATCCAGCAGCACATCAAAAAGCTTATCCACAACGATCAATTCAGCTTCATCCCTGAGATGCAAGGCTGGTTCCACATATGCAAGTCAATAAACGTAATCCATCATGTAAACAGAACCAGTGAAAAAAACCACACAATTATCTCAATAGATGCAGAAAAGACCTTTGATAAAATTCAACACCCTTCATGCTAAAAACTCAATAAACTAGGTATCGATGGAACGTATCTCAAAATAATAAGAGCTATTTATGACAAACCCACAGCCAATATCATACTGAATGGGCAAAAGCTGAAAGCATTCCCTTTGAAAACTGCAACAAGACAAGGATGCCCTCTCTCATCACTCCTATTCAACATAGTGCTGGAAGTTCTGGCAAGGGCAATCAGAGAAGAGAAAGAAATAAAGGGTATTCAGATAGGAAGAAAAGAGACCAAATTGTCTCTGTCTGCAGATGACATGATCATGTATTTAGAAAACTCGTTCATCTCAGTCCAAAAATCTCCTTAAGCTGACCAGCAACTTCAGCAAAGTCTCAGGATACAAAGTCAATGTGCAAAAATCACAGGAGAACCTTTAAAGTTAAATCAGAAACTCTGCTGTAATTGTTCTGGGATAGGGCTGGTCGTTGGTGTTTGTAAAGCTCCATCATACGCTAAGCAGTATTGTTTATCTGTGTTACCAGTGTTGCTGATCTGCAGTCAGTCAGTTACAGTGTTGAGGAAATGCCAACGAGCCTGTGACTGCAGCCTAGGTAGGGGCTTTGCAAAGAAGCTGAGGAAGGGAGTTGGAAGGGGGATTACCAAGGACAGAGTCCGCCCAGGCAGGCTCTTCTTCAGTTTATTTATGAACACTTGTGTATTTTGGTGGTCATTAGATAAATGTGCTGCTTTAAACTATCATGTTTTGACATTTTCACTGAATTCTTAATGTAAAAATCACTTGAGACATCTTAAACCAGCAAAAAGTTGAAACAAGCACAGCCTGTACCTTAGACTTGTACTAAAACCTCAATACAGTCTTTTGGACCAATAATCCTAATACAGAAACTCAGCACGATTAAGGCATGTTTAAGCAAAAACCTTGTAATAGTAAGGAATGCTAAGAGCTTTAAATAGGTACTGACAATAGCCCCAAGATTCCCACGGTGTTTTGCCTCTTGGCTTTTCTTCCTGTGAATGCTGCTGGTCCACTGTTACGTACCCCAACTTTGAGAACACAGTAGAGAGTGGCTTTGAAGAAAACCTCATTTTTTTTTTATATCTCAGACTCTTTGCCCTGTGAAGTAAAAGTACTTTTATGTTTTCTTTGTGGTTTTATGAAAATTGTCTAGAAGATAAGCGATATTTCTGCACTGGGTGGCATGGCCTCTCTCTGGGGATGGTTCAACCCAGCTTCCTCCTTTAGCACATCTGTTTTGAGCCTGCCGTGTGCCATGTCCTGTGCTAGGCCCTGGAGAGGCAAAGACACCTCATCTATTAGGAGAATGGCAGGCACATGATGATAACATGACTTCATAAATGCCATGAAAGATGCCTGGGAGCTGTCAGTGACTGGGAAACACTTGCGAGGCAGTACCAGGCAGGTGGAGACTTGACGGATTCTGGGGAATTGTTAGCAAGTGGGGCATTTGGGCAGATGGCACAGCCTAGAGAGTGCTGCTCACTCACCGGGAGTCCCCATGGCTGGAGTGGACAGGAATAGCGAGTGAGATTGCTGGATTCAGGGTTGAGCCCAGGGCAAAGGTACTTCAGTTGGACTTAATGTGCTTCAGGGAGGAGGGGTCTGGGGCCTACAAAGGATGGCCTGTCAGCTCAGCAGTCTGTGTGCTTTCTAGAGTATTGTCCCCTCTGTATATGTAAAATTTTGCCTGCATGATGTACTGTAGGGTCATCCGCACAGAATGGCAGCGCATTAAAGAGGGAATTCTCTGGAGGAAGCTACAGTGCCAAGCGGCAGCCCATGCCCTCCCCATCAGAGGGCTCTTTGTCCTCCGGAGGCATGGACCAAGGAAGTGATGCCCCGGCGAGGGACTTTGACGGAGAGGTGAGTGGGCAGGGTTCCGGAGACGTCATGCATCAAAAAGACTAGGGCGTCTTTCCAAGCAATTCCACCACCTTAAGATTGGCCTCAACTGCAGCAGGGGTCGGGGTCAGGGGCCAGCATTCACTCTTGGCCAGTGGGCAACTAGGCCAGTCACTTGGGTTGCAAACTGCAATTTTCCCAGAGGCATTCAGACTTCTGGCTTTTGTGTGAAAATACCATCATCTGTAAAGGCCTACAGAAAGGATGGAGCATGCATGTTCTGTGTCTCTTCCTCAGCTCATAGAAGGGGCTTTATACTGACAGCGAGGAAGCCCCATGGGGTTATTTGGTCAGGGTGGCTGGAGGGGGCGGTGGTAATCTGAGCTCCTTCTGCCTCCCTTTCTCCCCCTGCTTCTCATTGTTTTACTTTGGGCCTTACAGGACTCTGACTCTCCGAGGCATTCCACAGCTTCCAACAGTTCCAACCTAAGCAGCCCCCCAAGCCCAGTTTCACCCCGAAAGACCAAGAGCCTCTCCCTGGAGAGCACTGACCGCGGGAGCTGGGACCCATGAGCTGCCTCAGCACTGAGACTTCTCGCTCTCCGCTCCCTGCCACTCGCCTCTTCTCACTTTCATCTCTTCCCTCCACCTCAGCCTGAAAGCCACCAGGGGCTGGCAGCAGTAGCAGGACAGGGATTCAGGAGTTCTGACGACATGACTCTCAGATCCACGCCCCTAGCCTAACAGCAACAACAAAGACAGACTTTCCATAGCAGCTTAGATTAACGTTGATTTCATTCCATGCACTTAGAGTTGCTTTCAGTAACATTTTGCCCGTACTCCCAAAGGTAGCTTAAATAGATTACACAAATGTAAGTGATAAGAATAAGATTAGACAGATTTTGCTTTCACAGTAGAGTCTCATTATAGTCCTAAAATAGCTCATGGGATTCTCCGCATCCAGAAGGGAGAATCCGTCCCTGGAGTGGCTCGCTAAGCCCTTAATCGGCAACCACAGTGAGTGTCAACCTGATTGTTGCCAGGAAATCCTTATGAATTAAAACAATGCATATTTTACTACAATACAGAGTTTAAATGAATACATAAATGTAGAAGTACTGAAAGTATATATTTAAAAGGAGCCTCTTGTATTCAACAAAAGATGGATGCATATATAAGAGAGATGATTTAATTTAAAGAAATACATTGTTTCTTGTTTGTTTCCCAGCTAAGTAATGTAAAGGGTGGAAAGGCCTCAAGCTCACATTTTTAGAGGCAGAGCGAGAGAAATCAGAGTTCCCTTTATTGCCCTGTCCTCAAACTGGTCGTAGGCTCCAGTCACTCGGGGAGCTTTGGAAAACATTTGCAGAGCCTCGTTTTGCTGGTCTGGAGTGTGCCCTGGCACCAGAGCTTTAACATCTGAAACCACTTCAGCAGCAGCAGCAGCAGCAGGCTAACTCATCTCCACCCGAGGTGTTTCTTTTCCTAGTGGTAGAATTTGAACACTTCTCACTTTTTATTGTATTTTTATCTTCTGCAGATAAATGTAGAAATATATGATTCTGTCACCTCTGATCCCTTCCATCTGAAAGGGTGCAAGGAGTGTTGTAGCTTCTGAAGGTCCAGAAAATAGTTTCTAAAAATGCTTTTCTTCCTGGTCTCATCCTGTCCCTCCGTAAGTCACAGTGAGGTGTCTGTCCCAGGGCTGGAGACGGTTCCCAAGGAGGAGTCTGTTTTGTTGAGGGTGGGCATGAGCTTCTTCAGATAAGCCTGGGAAAGGAAGAAAAAAAGGCTTTCATTACCAAATAATGTAAAACCTCAAAAGCAAGGGCTTGAAGAGCCTTAACCAAATATTATTCCCATAACCAGTGGAAAATGGACATGACAACCCCAGTGCACAGGCCAGAGTGAGCCCAGCACGGCGCTCGGACTGGCTTCCTCTCTCAGGTGCTGGATTGTGGGGTTAGTGGCATTTTCAGCTGGATTCCTCCTGTTGTAGTTGCCATAAGGAAATGAGATGCAGAATCAGAATGATCTATTTCTACAGAGTCATTTCACTAGTTAAGCACATGAGTAGAGAAAGAGATAAAAATAAAAATATCTCATGGAAGGAAAGAGATTTTGCCTCTTACTTTTCGCCTAAGTTTCTCTGAGAGAGACAGGATTCTCTCTTTAAAATTCAGTGAAAATGAAGAAAGTTTTCCTGCAGTTGCTAACCTGAGTTGCAGTGTTTAAGGCCATCATTTCACTGCTGCTGTCTGTGACTCCACCTCTGTGACACTGACAGTAGCCCATGCTGGCCTGTGGCATGTGCAGGGAGCTGAAGCTGTTTCCAGGTGATGCTGCTGTGTGGAGAAGGTTCTGAGATGCAGTGAGGGAAGAAAGGATCCTGCTAGGGATTCCATTGCAAGCACCTATAATTGGGAATTTTCATGTAACAGCTTTGAGTTTGGTGCCGGCTCAGATTTGATTATATTTTGTTTTGGATGGGTGTAATTCACAGCACAGTTCTAACCTCCCAAATCTTTCTGCTTTTTAGAATGAAGTATAAAAATACTTTTGTCACCTGAATACCAAGGGTCGGCCCTTTAAGTGGATCATTGTCATATGACTAGGTAGATCCTTGTCTTCAGCACTCCACGTGAGAGAAGGGAGTCAGCCAGCTGGCCCCCTGCCTGGTGCTCGTGACCAGCTCGCACCCCTTCTGTTCACCCTCCCCTCCTCTCCTCCCCACTCTCCCCACCCTCCCCTCCTCTCCTCCTCACTCTCCCCACCCTCCCCATCCTCCCCATCCTCCTCTTCCCTTTCCCTTTGCCTTCTCCTCTCTCCCTTCTCTTCTCAGGCAGGGAGGAGGCCATCCCAAGCTGAGATTAACAGGATAAATGGCTTATTGACATAAGCCATTAGTTTGTAGCTTTGACAAGTAATTGTGAATTGTTGTTGCCTATAGGTGCTTATTTTCCAAAGGATGCTTTTAGGATCAAAATATAACCCTACCTAAAGTCTAGGCTCTACTGCAATGGGTCATACCCTTCCACCTCCCAACAGGGCAGATGAGAGAGAACTACTGAGGCTTGTCTTGGTTGCCAGGCTAACTGGGCGGATTGTCCGTATTCACTCCATGGATTGCACCACGGCGCTCTTTGATTTTTCCACTGCAATGGCAAGTCATCTCATCAGTCATAATAGAGCAGTCCCAAATGTGTGTAGATTCTAAAACCTGGGCTTTAGGGGACAAACACTGCCAGGGGTAATAGTTTTGGGGAGGGTTTTCCCAAAATAATGGTCATCCTACTGGGTTTATCCCACCCTTAAATATGAAGCCTGTTACCTCCAGAAGCTTCTGAGAAGAATGATGTGAAAAGACAAGGAGTGAGTTCAGGGGAAAAAAACATAATGACCATTCAGAGGAGTCAGTAGTAAAGCTCACAGGTAAAGTATTTTATTACTATCTGAAGACATCCTTTGTTTTCATTCAGGACATTTTAAAAATGTATATGGCAGCAGACACTTGTTTCTCAATAGAAAAAAATACATTCAGAGGCATTTCTGAGATAGTCTATCTGCGTTAGTATTTGGTGCTATCTATGTCCAGCCAAGTTATCTACCCTTGAATTCTGACTAATCATGTTTTGTGCTTTGGGTGTTTAAAATTACATACATATATATTATTTATTTTTGCCAAAAACAAAAGTCTTGCTCCTTGTCAAATTATTGCTAAAGTAGATCTTACATTTTTTGTTATTATATATGTATTTATACACACCCCCAACACACTTAGTGATTTCTGTTATTTCCCAGGGAGCACAGCTTTCAGGCTATGAGAGACAACTAAAACGAGCCCATCTATTTGGTTTTCCAGCCAATTATTGTGCCCACACTTCAGGGGAGAATCTGAAATTCCTGTCATGTTTACAGCAACAATCTATCATTCCCAGCTGGCTCTCAGCCTCTCCTTCCATAGGTTAGAATTATGTCATTTTGTTACTTAGTGGCCACATCTATTTCTGAGAAAGACTGGTTACATGTATGTGGCATCTCAGGTATCATTAAGGAAAAGCTAGAGCAGGGGTGAGCAGACGTCAAAACCACTGACACAGCAGGGCCATTTGCCGCCTTTGACCGGGATCACAACCACTGCAGTCTCCCAGCAGGTGGGCCTTGCCAAGCCTAAGGCTCCCAATCCAGTCTAGACAGAGGGGCGCTCAGAGCAGACTTTGCCGTAGCCCACATCCAGTGAGCACAATAGGAATGAATTGGGCACTCCACTCCCCCCTCTCTCTGGCCCAGTCCTGAACTAGATGAGCTGCATTTCATTGAGCCCATTTTGAAACCTCTTTCCTTATGACTTTAATTGTTACTCAAGTCCAGAGTTCTCTGTGCACTCCTGCTAGATAAGGAGTGCGGGCTCCCCCAGCACTGGCAGCACACTGGGCGCCTCCCTACGCAGGACACCATGCAGTTCCGGGGGAAGCTGACTCAAATCAACCTTGAAATCTCATGAAAACAAAATGACTTGCCTTTTTATTTGATAGTGTAATATCATTCATTTTATAAATTTTTTAGGGTTTTTCTTGTTGTAATATTGTACAGTTTTGCATGGCCTGGTGTGATCATTTTTTGGTTAGAATATAATGCTGACAAATGTGTATGGAGGGGGAAAGATACTGCTTTAGCCTATCCTTATTTTATTTTGTTTGGTTTTATGCCCTCAATGTTTTAGGGAACTTTCTAAGAGATCCTCTGCTACCAAACAATGATGTGGATTCTTTTGCACAGAAATATTTAAGGTGGGATAGTAAAAAATGTCACAAAAGACTCCTCACCAATATTTTATGTTGATATCACTTAATATTAACCAGACTTTGCTGTATTGCAATAAAACAGAGAACTGTTAGCATTGAGTATTTTGCCTTTTTTCCCCCCACTTGAAAGTCTGAGGAATAGAGAAAGGTGCCACCTCTCCGCGTGTCACTTCTCTTCTTTCTGCTGGCTTCCCTCCTCATCCAGGCTGCTTCCTTACACCGTAAAAGGACATGGGGTTAGTTTGCCCCTGTGGTTTAATCTAGGACTTTCTTAATGTCTTCCTTAGCTCAGGTAAGAATGATGTTCAATTCTCCTGAAGCTTTCAGCTCCCCTCTGCTGGCCAGAACTTCCCTGTTGCTGTTGCTTCAGTCCACAAGACCAAGCTCTGGCTACATGAGGTTTCATGAGTGGCCCGGACAGTGTGAATGTGGGAGGAGTTTGATTTTGTGTCACTTAAACAAGACTGGCTGTTACTGCTTTTCTGGAGTTAACAATGGTGCATCTAAGAACCTACAGGGAAGGGCCAGGGGTGGCATTAAAGGAACTCCTGAACTGGTGGCAGCTAAATAGTTATTCAGAGAACACTTCCGGTTCCAATGGCCCTTGGAATTGACACTTGTGGCTGTTACTGTTATGTTGGTTTGCTATAATGTCAGCTGTGCAGTGCTTTAGAACAGGGCTTGGCAACCTTTTCTGTCCAGGACAAGTTAGGAAATCCTTGTGCCTTTGTGGGCTGTATATATAGTTCGCTGCAGCCCGCCGGCTGTGGCATTTCGGTGCAAAACAGTCTTAGCCTGCTACATACATGAACGAGAGTGGCTGTGCTCCAATAAAACTTACAAAACCAAAAATGCAGCACGCTGGGCACCTCCCTACACAGGACACCATGCAGTTCCAGGGGAAGCTGACTCAAATCAACCTTGAAACATGAAAACAAAATGACTTGCTTTTTTATTTGATAGTGTAGTATCATTCATTTTATAAACTTTTTAGGGTTTTTCCTGTTGTAATATTGTACGGTTTTGCATGACCTGGCGTGATCATTTTTTGGTTAGAATATAATGCTGTAAACTATATATACAGCATTATATTCCTGTATATAGGAATATAGGAAAATGCACTGGGCCAGATGTGGCCCTTGGACCATCATAGTTTGCCAGCCCTTGGTTTGGTCCCATTAGTGTAGACTGTAAGACCAGACTGTCTTGTTCCAAATTCTGGTTCTACCACTTAACCTCTGGGCCTCTTTTTTTTCCTCTGTAAAAAGACTCACTTGGAGTGTCAGGAGTTAATGTAGAAAAGCACTCAGAATCTAACTTCCAGCCTATGGCTCAGTGTTTTGTCCTTATGAGTAACCACTAAAGCCTACATTAACAAATATTATTTTTGTTATGCAGTGTCCAGCCCTTCACTTAGATGTTAAGGATACGAAGACACAGACCCTGGGAAAATCAAGCCATGATTTGCCATGTTCTCATGCCCCATGTCTCAGTGTGAATGGGTGAGCACGGGGAGTCATGCATCACAATAGGTATATCACCAAAATAGGTACAAAAAAGTATGTGTGGCCAGCTTCAGAGCCAGCTTTGCTTGGGGATTAGAGTAATTTGCAATCCAGTGATCCCCACTGTCTTCACAGGGAGGGCTCTAGTCCTCAGCTGGCTGTCAGACTTAGGACCCACAAACCGTATTCCAATTTCCCTTAGAAAATTCCTCCTCTCAGCCCGGTGTGGTGGCTCACACCTGTAATCCCAGCACTTTGGGAGGCCGAGGGGGCCAGGTCACGAGGTCAGGAGATTGAGACCATCCTGGCTAACAGGGTGAAACTCCATCTCTACTGAAAATACAAAAGATTAGCCGGGCATGGTGGTGGGCGCCTGTAGTCCCAGCTACTCGGGAGGCTGAGCCAGCTACTCAGGAGGCTGAGGCAGGAGAATGGCGTGAACCAGGGAGGCGGAGCTTGCAGTGAGCCGAGATCACACCACTGCACTCCAGCCTGGGTGACAAAGTAAGACTCGACCTCAAAAAAAAAAAAAAAGACAATTCCTCCTCTCCCAGCAGTTATGGTCGTGGTTCCTGGGGAAGCAAATGCTGGCTCTCTGTTCTCCTTTCCCTTCCCCCCACCGCATGCTGCTGCTTGACTTGTTTGGCTTGTTTAAGAGGAAGATGCTGTGAGAGCCCTGGCTGGGGCTGGCCTGGGTTCTGCCCCTGCTGTTTACTCTGCAGGGCGTTGGCTTCAGATCAGAGCGCTGCAGAGTTCGCTAAATAACAGCAAATACCCTTACGAGAGCCACAAGAGTTCCAGCCAGGGATCTGCCAGTGGTGCTGGGCACCACTGCTAGCCGGGCAGCCTCACGGACACCACCCGGACCTCTCCATCCTGTCCTGGAGCCCACTGGGTCTGTTACTCAGCAATCCCAAATTTCATAAACTATGTTTTAAGAACCCTGAAAGCCTTTACCTCTCAAAGCCTCTTTTGGGCCTCTGTGGTCTGCAGCTGCACTTTCAATGGCTCACAGGTCTGTAGGAAGGGCCCCAGCTCAGTGTCCAGTGTGTCCTGTTATCTAGGAATCAAGCTGGCCCCAGGAAAAGCCACTTTGCAGGAAGTGGTCCTCAACTGCAGCTGATGTCTAGAGAGGAGACGTCTTACTGTGATGCAGACCGGCGTCAGCCCTGCTGGCAGGTGTCACTGTCCTTCCAGTTGCCACCATCACCGGGTACAGCTGCTTCAGCAGTGTGGTACAGCCTGCTGGGGGCTGAGGCAGTGACACTGCAGCCTCCTCCTGTTCTCCACCACTCCCACCACCCTTCTTACAGGGAACGGGGCTGAGCCTTCCAGGTTCGGGGCCAAGAGCCGCACGCTGAACCAGGCCCAAACCTTGCAAATGGGCTGTGACACTGAGCCTGCCCTGACCATCAGGTCAGGAAACCACCACCACCACGAGCTAGAAGATACGGAATACAGAACACGCCAAATACAGAAGTACACGCGCCAAAGCACTTCCCACGAGCATTTTTATTAAATTGCAACAAGTTGATTCAATCATTACAAGACTTGTACAAAAATTCACAGAACCTGTGAGGAGCCTTTGGCTGGAACTGGTGACACCTCTGCCTCTCCAGACCGAGGAAGGAAGTCCCACCCCACTTTCCAGCAGCAGCCAGCCTGTGTCTGGCATTCCCTGTTGTGCTGCTCTGCTCCCACCCTCACCATGGGGCAGCAGTTCTTCAGAAACATTCAGCTGTCAAAGATGAGAGCCAGCCCTACAGGCCTGGGCCTCACAGGCTTAAGGAGCACTTGTTGGCACTGTTAGATCAGCACCTCTCCCAGCTCCAGCCCATCGGCTGGAGAGGAAAAGGGCAGAAAACACAAATCTCACTCTAGAAACACATACACACACCCCTACTACACAGATAATGAAATCCCACAATTGTATCTGTGTTCATGTTTTCTGGGTTTTGCACTGGAACAGAGGTTGGAAGGGAGTAAGGACTCTCCCTTCTGCTTAACATTCACGTCAGGAAAAAGAAAACAAAGTTGCCCTTTCATCTTCATCTACTTATTTGAGAGGACACTCGGAGGCAGACTGACCGAGCAGTGGTCTTCATCTTCATTCTTGCACTTCTCACCCTACAACCATTTAGCAACAGAAACCGTGGGAAACACTGGCTATGGGGCTCCAGGCAGCCACCCCCTCTTATTGGGCAAAGGAGTTAAAAAGAGCATCACCACCACCACCTCCCTACTGGTTTTTGGCCTGTCTGAAGGAGAGTTCCCTTGGAGCCGGCCTGGGCGTGGCCCACAGCCCTACTGCTGGGCCTGCCTCCTGCGGTAGTTGCTGTAGGCCTCCTCGAACATGGCCTTGCAGGGGAAGCGGGCCTTCAGCTTGGAGCAGATGAGGAAGGAGCCCCCCATCTTCCTGTGCAGAGAGTAGGTCTCCTCGGGTGGGGGGACGAGACGGTGCCTCAGCATGACGGGAATCAGGTTGTGGATCTTCTCGGTGGTGCTCTGGGTGCCAAAATCAAAGGGCTCATCGGAGGCGAAGGCCTCCCCCAGGATGAGGATGGCATCCAAGTGGGCATCTTCCATGACCTGGGGCAGGAGAGGAAGGGTAAATGGCAGCGAGACAACAGAGCCCTCCACCAGCCTGGGTTCCTCCCACAGTGCCCAGAGCGCTGAGTTCTCACTCAAAACTCTGCTGTAAACTGGATTACATCATGGTAATGGGCATAAACTCAAACGCACAGGGGCCGGGAACACGAGGGTAACATGAACTGGGCTGATGCAATACAAAAGGGAGTGGCGGGGCCTGTGGCAGAATGCAGAGGATGCGTTCCTCCTCGTGGCACTCATTCCAGGTTTTAATAAAACACTGTTCTGGCCAAAAAGAACAGAGTCCGTGGGCCTGAGCTGGCAGGGCCTCCCACCATGCGTGTCTGAGCCTGCCAGAGTCCACCCAAGACACATCCAGCAGCTGTGTCTGCCCACAGGAACTAGCAGCCTAAGGAACCTGCCAGCAGCAGAGCAGGGGAGAAGAGCTGCCACCAGGGACAGCCTGAGGTGGTCAGAGGGATGGGGGGCCAGGAATCAAGTCAGTGCGAGTGGCCATACGGAAGAGGCAGCAGAGAGCTGCTGCCAGCTGAGGGCTTACAGCTGAGATAAGGGAGGCTCAGAGATCCTGACATGCCTCAAAAGGCACTCCTACCAGACGGCAAACCCAAGGCTTGACCTGGATCTCTTTAACTCCTTCCCCACTGTCAAGCAGCAAGCGGAAAATGCCGCCTTGTGGGTGGCTTCGGGCGGCACCAGCACAGACGTTCGCCTTTATTTAAAAGGCTTCTGAGGCTTCTTCCGACTCTCCCCACGGAGGCTCGATGAGGGCAGGGCTGGGGCTTCCCTTCCCACTTGTTCTGCACGTTGGCTCAATCGAGCCCTGACCCCATGCCATCAGTGGGCGAGAGTGAGAGGCAGAAACAACAGCTTCATAACAAGTCCCCTGAGTCCCCAACTCACTGGACCACTCGGAAAATCTCACGCACAGCATGGCGGCATGGGCCGGGGCAGGCCCCAGCTTTCAGACCATGCCCAAGGAGGCCCAGGCTCTGGGGGCCCCTTGAGGGCAGCTGCCACCTGTGCTTTCATCCATTCCTACACAGGGAGCTGGGCCCTGGGTCAGCAGGTCCCGGGGATCCCCCGCAACCCTGCTCACCTTAACCTCGTAGCCGGTGAGGAACTTCATCTCTATGGATTTTGCCCGCACAGTCTCTCTGTCCCTGTCGGCAGCAGCCCTGATGATCTGGGGAGAGGCACAGGAGGGGACCCGTAGGCAGCATGGAAAGAAAAGCTCCCGACATCCCAGGGAGCCAAGTGCCACACCCGGGCCCACCCTACCCTCATCCTCTCCCTGCACAAGGCCCCCGGCCAGTGCGGTGACACGCCTGGCAGCTGTCAGCCTAAATGCCCGCTGTCACCAGACCTGAGGGGCAGGCAGCACAGTTGGGGACACAAGGGCAGGAACCCAGTCATTCTCCCCGCCCCGAGTCCCCCAGCATCCTGTCCCAGCCTCAGAAAAACATGGACCAAGGCCAGGGCCCCTCTCCTGTTACCTGAATGTAGAGGTCGGTGAAGGATCTGTCATATTCCCGTGTTGCCCCAAAATCCAAAAGAGCCACCTGGGGACAGAGACACCAGGAGAAGTTTGGCCCCACTGCTCCATGGTGCAGGTGTGGGGCCAGGAAGGGGGTACAACAAAAGGCAGTGAGGATCCCCACTCCCGGAGCCCTGAGCTCTCTGCTGACTTTCCCAGGACAAGGGACAGGCCAGGGCCTCACGCGCCCCATTCAGAGAAGGTCTCAGGCCTGGCTGCGGGTGCCCCCACCCTGGGGCTCACCTTGTGCTGCTGCGGGTCATAGAAGAAGTTGGACCAGTTGGGATCTGTTTGCATGAAGTGGAACTCGAACAGCTCCCTCAGGCACAGAACCAGGATGTTGTAGCAGATCTGTGGACAGCGTGAAGGGCCTGTATCAGGCAGCACCACACTGCCTGGTGCCCTGGGTGACTGGGGCCAGAGAAGCCCCTTCCTCCTGTTTTACCCACCGTACCCTGTGGGACTGTTTGATTCTCAGTGTCACTTGGGCCAGGGAAGGCAGCAGTTCCCGTGTCCCCCTAAATCCCACTGGTGCTACTTCAACGCCACTCACCCCCAAGGAGCACCTCAGGGCTCCAAGTCCCCGGCGAACACCATTAGGTCACCAAACAGCCACACAGCAGGGCCACCCCGGCCCCACCTGTCTGCTGGTGCAGACGCACCTCGTTCCGAATCTCCTGGCTGAGCCCTTCGGCCTGGTCCAGGGGGAAGCCGGACACAAGCTCTGTGGTCAGCACATGCGGGCTGCAGAGCTCATCCACGATCTCAGGCACATAGAAGAATGGGTGGCCCTTCAGCAGGTCCCTGGGTAGAGGCAGGAGGTCACGCCCTAGCCACAGGCCCTCCACATCGCCCCCTCACGCACACCCCACCAGGCAGAGGGCCCTCCTTCACCCCAGGCAGGATGTGGCCTCGGCCCAGGCTGCAACCCCAGCCCTCTGCCCCTCAGAGCCGGAGAGGCCTTCGCCAGCTGCTGAACATGGTCCCTTCTGCCTCCCTGGTGGCAACATGCAAGGGGCCCAGCCAGGGGCCACACCTGAACTTGCGGGCACAGGCGGCCTCCCGCTGGTAGTCACACTCCAGGGCCAGCTCCCGCCTCAGCACGTCGATCAGGTGCTCGGGGAACAGGCCTGGGCCGGAGAGGAGGGCATCAGCGAGGAAGGGGGCTCTGCAGGGAGGCCCCCCTCTGGTCCCCAGAACCTGACACAGATGCCTGCCACCCCCTCCTGCCCTTGACCCAACCACCTAGCCTCAGACCTTCTGGAAGCATGTTGCTCATGTTCAGCACGGCCATGAGGTTGTTGACATCACTGTTGATGCTCTGGGCCACGCCAGGGTACTGCGGAGTATTGGCAGGGCAGAGGAGTTAGCCCAGGGAGATGGGTGGGCCCTGCCTGGGGCACTCCCCTAACCCCCACTGGCTTCCCAGCTGTGTCCTGGCCCCAGCCCACACCCTGGAGAACCAGAGCTAAGACCCAGCCATGCTGCTGTAACCCTTGGGCCCCATCCCAGCCTTGTCGTCCACCTTCTACTCCTGCCTCGCCTCACCCCCGGAAACATCTCGGGGCCACCCTCCCACCAGCTCCAGCCCCAAAAGGCAATCAATTGTCCCCTGTCCCTGCACATCCCAAACCAAGCTTGCTGGGAGCCCCTCCGTGCCCCCAAAGCCACTCATTTAGCAAATACTTCCCAAGCTTCTGGTGCCAACCAGGCACTGGGGCCAGAGGACACCACATATGGCCCTACCAGGAGAGAGAGTGCCCTGTGGGACGTGGGGTGCAGAGGCACTCATGAGCCAGGCCCCAGCTCTGCCCCCTGCAGCCCCCATGGGGACAGGCACTGCGCACCAGGCTGCCTACCTGGATCTTCATGGCCACCTCGCGGCCGCCCTTCATGCGGGCCAAGTGCACCTGTCCGATGGACGCCGCGGCGAAGGGCCGCTCCTCGAAGTACTCCAGCTTGTCCCGCCAGCTGGGGCCCAGGTCGTTGTTGAGAGTTTTCTGGAGGGCAGGACCAGGGAGGGGCTCTGAGCACAATCCTGCCTGGGCCACCTGGAGAAGCCCCAAGTCTGTCTCCTCCACCCAGTGGGGGCCGAGGACCCAGAGGGCAGGCAGAGTCCCCGGCTCCTCACCATCATCTGCTTCAGTGGCATGAAGTCCGCGCTCTGCCGCACCCGCTCAAAGATCTTAGCCAGGTGGGGGTTGATGAAAGCGTCATCTGGAAGGCAGGAGAGTGACACAGGGCCAACCTGGGGATGAAAGTGCTCGCCCAGGAGCTGGGCAGGCACATTTCTGGGACGCCCTGGCCACCACACACTCCCCACCAGGAGCACAGGTGAGGCCAGAAAGACCGGAGCCCTTGCAACAAATGCCCTCGGCCACTCAGTGTCCCCAGAGCCCCAGCCTCAGCCCAGCGACCTGAGAAGGTTGGCTTTTTACATGCAACATGCAGAGTTTTTCATAATTACAAAAGAAATTTGGAAAATAAAATATAGTAAAATGTTGAAATGACCTGTGTTCTGACCGCCTCTAGAGAACAATTTTTCCTCTCTGCTCTTTTTCCCATGTTTCTTTGGACCCAGAGCCACTCAGCTGGTATTATCCTCTAAGATCTCTCCCCAGCCTGCCCACATCTTGCCCACTGAGCTTTGGTGGGGCTACTGCTCCCGGCCCTGGAAGTTGACCCCCACAGCAGCCCACGCAGTCCCAGCGCAGCAGCCCCCGAGCCCACTCACCCTGGATGCTCAGCATCTGGCCCAGCTTGAGCGCCGCACCACGCACCTTGCAGAGCGTGCGCACGATACGCTCTGCATTGGCCTCAGACAGGAAAGGACTGGAATCCAGCACAGACTTCTTCCCTGTAGGCGGGCAAGAGGGGTCACCATGGCACTCGGGGGGGTCTGGGAGTAGGATGGCAAACCCAGCCTGACACAGATGGCGGCGGCTCAATGTCTTGCCTCCCAGGCATCCATAAAACCAGCAACACAACTAACTACTGTTCCATGTCCACCTCCCCAAGCCTGTGTGAGGTGCATCCCCAGGCCCTACACCAGCGCCTCCCAATACACACACACACAGGCATGCACACCTACATATGCGCGCGCACACACACACACACACAGGCATGCACACCTACATATGTGCGCGCACACACACACACAGGCATGCACACCTACATATGTGCGCACGCACACACACACACAGGCATGCACACCTACATATGTGCACGCACACACACAGGCATGCACACCTACATATGTGCACGCACACACACACACAGGCATGCACACCTACATATGTGCGCACACACACACAGGCATGCACACCTACATATGTGCGCGCACACACACACAGGCATGCACACCTACATATGTGCACGCACACACACAGGCATGCACACCTACATATGTGCACGCACGCACACACCGGCATGCACACCTACATATGTGCGCACACACACACACAGGCATGCACACCTACATATGTGCACACACACAGAGGCATGCACACCTACATATGTGCGCGCACACACAGGCATGCACACCTACATATGTGCGCACACACAGAGGCATGCACACCTACATATGTGCGCACACACACAGGCATGCACACCTACATATGTGCGCACACACACACAGGCATGCACACCTACATATGTGCGCGCACACACACAGGCATGCACACCTACATATGTGCGCACACACACACACACACGCATGCACACCTGCATATGTGCGCACACACACACACACAGGCATGCACACCTACATATGTGCGCACACACACACACAGGCATGCACACCTACATATGTGCGCGCGCACACACACACACAGGCATGCACACCTACATATGTGTGCACACACACACACACAGGACCTCTCCCTTCCACATGGGTACCTGGTGGGCCGTGGCAGGGCCATGGTGCTGCCTGTGGCTGGAAGGGGCATGGGAGGGGAGACCCCAGGTGAGGAGGTGCCAAGCCTTTGCCCTGTGCGCCCCCACCCAGGGCACTGCACAAAGGTCCGCTGCACCTGTGGGGTCGGCGTGCATTTGCACATGGGGCCAAGTGGCTGCAGCCAGAGGCCTGTCCTCAAGGGAAGGGTGCTCAGGCCAAGGGCAGCACAGCCCAGGGGTGCCCATCTCTCCCCTCCACCCACAGAGGTCCCCTGCAGCTCAGTGCAGCCAGCTGGACAGTCATGAGCATGCAGTGACCCCAACGGTGCAGGTGGCCTTTTTCCAGTCCACCAGTGGGAGGGCTGAGGGCCGTGACTCAGGAGCGGCAGAAGACCGGCTAAGTCAGCTGCCAGCGGCCGTGTGGCCCAGGGCGGCTGAGCCCCCTCTAGCTTCCATGCCCTCCTGGGCCATCAGCTCAGTGCTGCCTAAACAGGGAGGTGCCCCTGTCCGGAGGCACAGAGAGGCCTGAGCAGAGATCTGGGGCTCCGACTCCTTCCACCTTCCCTGAGCTTTTCAGCACCCCTCTTCGCCAGGTCTCCAGCCCTTGTGACATTCGCACTTTCTCCTGCCTTCTGTCCTGTGAATCTAGTTAGATCTCAAGCCCCAAGAGGTCGCAGTGCAGCTTCCTCCCCTCTGGCCCCCACAGCACCCAGCACTTGCCTCAGCTCCAATCACTTCAGGCCTGGCATGGCACTCGGGTGGCACACGGAGCCAGGTACCCAGCAGGAGGAGAGGTGACTGTGCCACTGCCCTCTGCCCTGGAGCCGGGTGCAGCCTGGCCCCTGAGAAACCAGAGTGGGGCAAGCCGCCCTGAGAACGGAGGCCCTGCAGCCCAGAAGAGGAGCCTCAGAGAAGACCCGCATCTGCCCACCTGTGCAGGCAGCCACATGGAAAGGGGCCAGGCTCACTCCAGGCTCCCAGATAGCAGGAAGGGCCCTGGGAAGGTGGGAGACCTAACGTCTCTGGGGGAAGAGGCTGAGCTGCCCTGGGAGGCTGAGCTATGACCCATGGGCAGAGCCAGTCCAAGAGGGCTGGGCCCAGAAGGGTCCCTGGGCCACCCCCTTCCCTTAGGCAGCAGCAGATGCCAGTGCCAAAGGAAAGGCAGTCAATGTCCCCTCTGCCCCCAGCCCTGTGGTACTTGTGGGCTGGGGGCTTGGGCCTGGGTCCTTGGGGAGGGGCGGGCAGAGAGGGAAACCTTTAGGAGAGGCCACTGCCCCAGGCCAGAGGAGGGACAGTCTATCTCCTCATGACACACAGAGCAGGCCTAGGCTGGCGGCAGTGCTCCTGAGAGATGCAGACAGTGCCTGGCCCAGTCGGGGCTTTCCCAGGTAGCCCATTGGCAAAACTGGTCAACGCCACAGGCTGGAGGCATGTCCCCTGCCCAGGCAGGGCTGGCTGTGAGAATGACTTAGCAAACAGGGATGGGTCCAGGGCTACGGCGGCGTGCACCTAGCTCAGGAAAGGTCCTTCCAGGGCAGAGCTCAGCCAGGGTGGCCGGCGTCCTCCAGGCCAGAGGGTGCCAGGGCCTGGTCAGGAAACTGGAGCACAGTTTGGGGATGCTCAGGGCCACCGTACTCCAGCCTAAGCCTCGGGTCCCACTCTCAGAGCTACCGATGCCTGGGCCCCTTAACCCCCAGCCTGGGGTCACCACTGTCCCTGACAAAGAACACCAAGTGTAACTGTGGAGCCAGCCTGGCCTCTTCCCTGCTTGGATGAGGTAGTCTGGAGAATAGCCAGCTTTGGAGAGGACCATAGAGGACAGTGGGGGAAGGCTGGCTTCTCCTTCCAGAGAAATCCAGGCTTCATTTCCCTGAGGGTTTCAGCACTAGCGCTAAAAATACCCTTGCTAAGCTCTCCGTCCTCAGCCCCTTCCAAGGACATGCATGCCGCCCGTGCCCCAGGACTCAGTCAGGGCCTGTGGGAGGGACTGGTGCCCTCGTCCCAGAAGGCAGCATTGGTGGGTGAAGGGGGGATGTCCAGGGACTGGCAGGGCCCCCAACGGAGGCTAGCCCAGGCTGGCAGACAGGGCTCTGAGGACCGCAGTGTGGCCAGTCACTGGGTGTCTCTGGGGGTTCCCACAGGCGGGGGTGAAGGGTGTGATACCAGAATGAGCTGACATTCCCTGAATGGGCCGGGGCCAGGGGACTTGGCCCAGAACTCCAAATGTGTTTAGGAAAATCCACCAAGCAGATGGCTCCCTGGGCGCTGCTCTCCACACCCCAGGCCCCACTAATAGGAAAGCCCCTGCTGGGCCGACCTCACGCCCACCTGGCCCGCCCCCCATGCCTGAAGAGGCCTGAGGAGGCGCCCAGCCTGGTGCTCACAGGCAAAAGGCGGCAGAAGCTCAGTGTGCCCCACTCCTCATCACAGCAGCATGAACCCCCGCAGCCTCAGTGTGGTCCGTCCGCAGAACCTCTCCAGAGAGTCCAGCCACAGCGGGTCACCAACCTCAGTGGGATGAGTGTCCTGACCTGACCACCTGCCTGACCCTGGCTATGACCTTCACTTCAGAGATGAGGTGCCTCTGCAGAGGCTACAGCCTCCCCAGGTTACTGGGCTGGTGAGGAGCAGCCTTCAGGGTCTGCCTGCACACCTCCCCTGTCCCCAGCCACACCTGACCCGGCCAGACCAGCAGGCCACAGGGACCCCCAGAGAGTAGGGCAGCAGCAAAAGGTGGGTTTACAAGGAGGTGTCGGGTGTGTGGAGGGTGTGTAAGAAGGTGTGTGGAGGGTAAGGAGGTGTGTGGGTGTGTGGAGAGTAAGGAGGTGTGTGGGTGAGAGGTGTGAGGTGGGTGTGTAAGATTGTGTGGGTGTGTGGAAGTGTGTGGAGTAAGGGTGTGTGGGTGAGTGTGAGGTGGGTGTGTAGTGTGTGGGTGTGTGGAGAGTAAGTGTGTGGGTGAAAGGAAGGTGTGAGGTGGAGTGTGTAAAGGTGTGTGTGGGTATGAGGTAATAATGTGGAGGTAAGGAGGTGTGTGTGGGTGAGAGGTGGGTGTGTAGTGTGTAAGGAGATGTGGGGGTGTGTGGAGGGTAAGAAGGTGTGTGGGTGAGAGGTGGGTGTGTGAGAGTGTGTAAAGGAAGTGTGTGGGTGTGTGGAGGAGTGCATAAAGTGTGGAGGGTAAGGAGGTGCGGTGTTCAGTGGGTGGTGGGTGTGTGGGGAGTAAGGTGTGGGGGTGAGAGGTGGGTGTGTGGAGAGTAAGGAGGTGTGTAGGTGGGAAGTGGGTGTGTAGTGTGTAAGGAAGTGTGTGGGTGTGTGGAGGGGGTGTGTAAGAAGGTGTGGAGGGTAAGGAGAGGTGTCGGGTGTGTGGAGGGTGTGTAAAAGGTGTGTGGAGGGTAAGGAGGTGTCGGGTGTGTGGAGGGTGTGTAAGAAGGTGTGTGGAGGGTAAGGAGGTGTCGCGGGTGTGTGGAGGCGTGTAAGAAGGTGTGTGGAGGGTAAGGAGGTGTGCGGGTGTGTGGAGGGTAAGAAGGTGTGTGGAGGGTAAGGAGGTGTGCGGGTGTGTGGAGGGTGTGTAAAAAGGTGTGTGGAGGGTAAGGAGGTGTCGGGTGTGGGGAGGGTAAGAAGGTGTGGAGGTAAGGAGGTGTGTGGAGTGTGTGGAGGGTGTGTAAGAAGGTGTGTGGAGGGTAAGGAGGTGTGTGGGGTGTGTGGAGAGTAAGGAGGTGTGTGGGTGAGAGGTGTGAGGTGGGTGTGTAAGGTGTGTGTGGGAGGTGGGTGTGTGGTAAGGAAGGAGGTGTGTGGGTGAGAGGTGGGTGTGTAATTAATGTAAGGAGGTGTGTGGGTGTGTGGAGGGTGTGTAAGGTGTGTGGGTGAGAGGTGGGTGTGTAGTAAGGAGGTGTGTGGGTGTGTCGAGGGTGCATAAGGTGTGCAGGTGTGAGGTGGGTGTGTGGAGGGTGTGCGATTGGTGTGTGTGGAGCGTGTGAGGTGGATGTGTGGAGGGTAAGGAGGTGTGCAGGTGTGTAGAGGATAAGGAGGTGTGCAGGTGTGCGGTGGGGTGCAGAGGAGGTAAGAAAAGGATGTGTGCAGGTGTGCAGTGTGTGGAGGGTGTGTAAGGTACAGGTATGAGGTGGGTGTGTGGAGGATGTAAGTAGGTGGGCTGGTGTGTGTGGAGGTAAGGAAGTGTGCGGGTGTTCGGTGGGCATGGAGGTGTGTAAACAGGTGTGCAGGTGTTTGGTGGGTGTGCAGAGTGTGTAAGGAGGTGTCGGGTGTGTGGAAGGTGTGTGGGTGTGCATGCAGCCAAGGAAGGGGAGCTAAGTGGCCACTTTGGGCCAGGGAGGAGAAGGGCCTCCAGCCTCACCCCCTCTAAAGCAGGTCAAATAAGTCTGTATGAACAGCCTCATCACCCGGACGCCACTTGCGGTATGAACCCATGCAAATGCGGCCCAGCTGGCTGGCCTCCCAGAGCACAGGCGGGGCTGCAGGGCTGGCAGGTTCCAGCCCTCCTGAGGCCCACCCGGTGTCCGGGTGTGTGGAAGGTGTGTGGGTGTGCATGCAGCCAAGAGGAAGGGGCTAAGTGGCCACTTTGGGCCAGGAGGAGGAAGGGCCTCCAGCCTCACCCCCTCTAAAGCAGGTCAATCCGTCTGTATGAACAGCCTCATCACCCGAGGGACGCCACTTACGTGGAACCCCATGCAAATGCGGCCCAGCTGGCTGACACTCCCAGAGCACAGGCGGGGCTGGGGGCTGACAGGTTCAACCCTCCCAGGGCCCACCCTGCCCCTCCCACTGAAGGGTCCGGCTCACCTGAGGGGTCCTCGGAGCGCAGGCTCTTCTTGGCGACCTCCGCCAGTGCCCCAAAGCCAAGACCCACTGCCAGACCTGCAGGGAGGTGGGGGCGGGCACTCAGTGCTCATGCAGGGCTGGGGCCACCCACCCACCCACAAGGCCTGGGGCAGCACCACACAGACACCGCTTGCACCAGGGACCCTCGCTGCCACACCAGCATTTTGAAAAGTGGGGAACAAGGTGGGAGATGCCACCTGTTGTTTTAAGAAGACATTTGGCTCGAAGTAGGTGTTTCCAGTGAAAAAGATTCAGGAATCCCCCACCCCATACCATCACCTTTGATAATCCACAGGCTCACGGGCACATGGACACTCCAAAGTGATGTCAGCTGGGAAGCACTTGGGAAGGACCCAGTACAAATGGGAAGACGGACCAGGGATGGTCCGCAGACTAAGGTCACCCCAACCACACAGGGCACCCTGAGAATACAACCACCCCCTTCAGGTCTGAAGAGCCTCCAATCACCTAGACTTCCCTAATTCACTGGAACAGGAAAGGTGCTGCCACAGGCATACAAAGCACTTGGTGGTGAGAGTGAGAACACTTTCGGCTCTCCCTAATCCAAGCCAGGGGGACAAGGGGCTCAGGCGGAGTCCTTGCTGGGGAATGGAAGGCCCTCTCGCCCACCCTGCCCTTTCTGTGGGGCTGGCAAACACTGACATCTGAGGACCGTGGGGTGCAAGGTCTTCCCTTTATCCTCTTTCACAATCTTCCGAATCAAAGCCCACTAACACCTCATTTATCCAAAAATCAGTCAATGAATGATCCCAGCTGCTCAAGAAAGCCACCCCCGACCCCTGCCCAGGAGCCCAGAAGGTGCCACTAACGCCACACCTCACCCAGGGCCAGTATTCTCTTCCTTTATACCCAGCTCTAGCTGGCTTTCCAAAGTAGGCAAGGGTTAGCAGAGAGAGGGTGAAGAGCACCTGGCTGGGCACGGTGACTACGGCCGGCAGGGCTGAGACCAGAATGGCCACGCAATGAGCCAGCCTTGGAGAGCCCCGCAGCCCCGCACGCGGGCAACATCGCAACATCACAGCCCCGCAGCCCCGCAGCCCCACAGCCCCACACGCGGGCAACATCGCAACATCACAGCCCCGCAGCCCCGCAGCCCCACAGCCCCACACGCGGGCAACATCGCAATATTGCAGCCCCGCAGCCCTGCAGCCCCGCAGCCCCGACGCAGGCAACATCGCAACATCGCACCCCCGCAGCCCCGCAGCCCCGCAGCCCCGCACGCGGGCAACATCGCAACATCGCAGCCCCGCAGCCCCACACGCGGGCAACATCGCAACATCGCAGCCCCGCAGCCCCGCACGCTGGCAACATCGCAACATCGCAGCCCCGCAGCCCCACACGCGGGCAACATCGCAACATCACAGCCCCGCAGCCCCGCACGCGGGCAACATCGCAACATTGCAGCCCCGCAGCCCCGCACGCAGGCAACATCGCAACATCGCAGCCCCGCAGCCCCGCAGCCCCGCAGCCCCGCACGCAGGCAACATCGCAACACTGCAGCCCCGCAGCCCCGCAGCCCCGCACGCGGGCAACATTGCAACATCGCAGCAACATCGCAGCCCCGCAGCCCCGCAGCCCCACACGCGGGCAACATCGCAACATCGCAGCCCCGCAGCCCCACACGCGGGCAACATCGCAACATCGCAGCCCCGCAGCCCCGCACGCGGGCAACATCGCAACACCGCAGCC